AACACAACACAACACAACACAACACAACACAACACAACACAACACAACACAACACAACACAACACACACAACACACACACGTGTCAAGGAAGCCAACAAGCACTAGAACAACTGCGCGCGCGCTCTCCGATGCTGCTGAAAATCACGACCATACGCGCAAGGCGCGTGATAATCGCCAACATGTCGCCCCAGCCGCACATGGCGGCGCACGTCGCCCCCTTCGGGCGGGCGCGGTCGCCTCGCAGACGGCGCCTCGTCGCCTCCCGCGCATCGAAGGCTCGGGTGCCAGAGCGGCCCAGCGGCAGTCCGAGGGGGCCCGCCCGCCGCGGGCGCGCGCCGCCCCCCCCCCCCCCCGGGGAAGCGCGCGCCGCCCTCCCCCCCCCCTACAAGAAGCAAAGGCTTGGCATCGCTCGGACGTGTGCATGTTTCTTTCGGCGAGGACCATCGAGGAGCATCCCTGATCGTGTGGCGAAAGAAACACGCACGAAACCGAAAAGAGCACAGGGAATGGACGTCCGAGCGATGGCCAGAAGGTGACCGGGACGAGCGTCGACGAGGGGCCCAGATTCAGCTCTGCACTCCGGGGGGGAGGGAGGGGGGGAGTGTAGGACGCATGGGCGTCGCCCGAGTGATGATGATGATGACGATGGTGATGACGATAATGATGATCACGATGATGATTGTATTCGCGATGGTGCTGGAGATACTGATGATGTTGCTGCTTGCCATGATGATCATGGTGATGATGGTTATGACGATGGTGATGAGCATCATCATCATCATCATCATCATCATCATCATCATCATCATCATCATCATCATCATCATGAGCACCATCACCACTGTTAACATGGTCGTTCTTTTGAACAACACTGGTTGCGAATTTGTAGGGCAACCGTACGTCTTTCCACATGTTTATCACATGCGCCCAATGGCCTCTCGCGCGCGCATGTCGAAATCGTTCGTACGCCCTTGCGCGTCTGCTGGGGGGGGGGCGATTCTTGTCAAATCATACCATGCGGGTGGCTCGCGCGCGTCGGGAGCGAGCGCATGTCGAAATCTTTCAAAAAACCTTCATCGCCGACAAGTGGGCACCATCATCGTCATCGGCGTGGCCACCATCGGCGCCCTCATTGGCCGTGCCGCAATCATCGTCACCATCATCGCTACCATCGTTATTTTTACCGCCTCTGCCGACGTCACCATGGTACCGCGCCTGCCCGAGCCAACGACTTGCAGTGAAGTGCTCGCGCGTCGGCGCGGCCTGTGAGACGCGCTGGGAATCCCCAGCGGTCAGCGCCCCCGCTGCCGCGCCGGTTTCGCCAGACGAGTCGGCCGCGCCAGCGCGGCCGCGGTGATGCGCCAGTCAGCCCCAAGCAGTCATCGCAATCGCCGCCGCATGGGTTTTGCAAACCAAGTTGCGGGTGGGTGCCTGGGATGATTGCGCGAGCAGTGGCGTTGACAATGTCAAGTTTTGCAAGGTGCACTTCAATAGATTGCTCTACAAAGGTTGCACAACATAGATTGCATCACGCCGGTTTTCCTTTTCGGAAATGACTTTAGGATCTCCCCCTTGGCTTTATCGCATCCTTCCCCCCCACACACACCCTGGGATAGTACAATTTACATTTGAATCTTCCTTTGTTTCATTTAAATATGAGTTTATACCAACCCAGGCAGGCCGTCATCGTCCCCCTCATCTTTGTCAAAGACGACTACGCGCGTACGGTCGCCCATCAAGAAGAAAACATACATTCCAATAGTCCTGGGCAAGACATAGGACAAAGTCGACACGTGCGCCCCGCCGCGAGCGCACGCCAACATCCTCCAAGAACCTGCGGTTCGCAAGGAGTTGGATCGGGATCACCGAAAACATGCACACACAGCGGTTATGTAACATGATGCTTCACGGCAACAAGAAGATGCGCCCGCACGCGTTTTTGCGAGTTCGTAGGCAAACCATCGGTTTTCAGCGTAGTCACCAAATGCGACCAAGTGGGCTCCTCGCGCGCGCATGTCAAAATCCTTCGACTACCCTTACCTGCTTGCTGGGGGGGCACGATCCTTGTTGTCAACTATTTCATGCGGGCCACTCGCGCTCGTCGGCCGCGCGCGCTTGTCGAAATCTTCCCGATAACCTTCATCACCGATACGTGGACACCATCCTCGTCATCGGCGTGACCAGCATCGGCGCCGTCATCGGCCTTACCGTCGTCATCGTCACCATCATAGCTACTATCACCATCGTGCCTGCAGTTGTCGACGTGGCCATTATACCGCGCCCGCCCGAGCCACCGAGACGCGCTGGGACGTCCTCAGCGGTCATCGCCACCGCGGCCGCGTCAGCCGCACCAAACTAGCTGGCCGCTCTGCGCGGGAGCCTGCGTGTGCTAGCGCGGCCACGGCGATGCGCCAGCCAGCGCCGAGCAGTCATCGCAATCGTCGCCACATAGGTTTTGCAAACCAAGTTGCGGGCTTGTGCGGGATGATTACGCGAGTTGTGGATTTGACAACTCCATGTTCTAAGGTGAATGCTTACTAAGCAAGAGCCAGAATCTACCACCACCACCACCCCAGGATTATCATCCAGCTTTTCTGCATTACGCGACCAAGTTGCCGATGGCACTATCCATGCATTTGGCCACTCTCTTGAAGTATCGTTCTCACCTTTTTCCCGACAGCAACATCAATCGGTCCATCGGTCTCATCATCTGTCGTTTTCATTCTAATCCATCATTCCAGACAGCAGCGGACAACCATGGAACGCCCACGGCACAATTAAAGGACAGCCGCAGGACAACCGTGTGACGACCACGGGACAACCACGGGACAGCCACAAGAAAACCGCGGGACAACCACGGGACGTCCACGGAACAGACACAGGACAACCGCGGGACGGCCACAGGCACGCCACGGAGTAACCACGGGACGACCACGGGACAACCCCAGGGGCACGCCGCGGCGGACGGGGGTGATTCATTATATAACGTGACATGGGCCCAGCCACTGCAGACATTCTACAGGTAGCGTCGGATCCGATGCGCGATCTGCGATCTAGCAGCTTCAATGTGCACTACAAGGCCACACCACCCTTCGGGTGC